AATGTGGGGGATAAAAGACATGTCCTGATCAAAAATAACACCAAGATGTTTAACATTAGAGCTGGAGGACAGATTAATGCATCCAAGGAGGGAGAAAGACTGAAACATTCATTCCTAAGGTGCTCAGGTCCAAAAACCAAAACCTCAGTCTTGTATGAGTTTAAAAGCATAAAATTAAGGGTCATCCAGGTTTTTATGTCTTCAAGACATGCTTGTAGTCTAAGTAGCTGATTGGATTCATTGGGTTTAATGGACAAATATAATTGTGTGTCATCAGCATAACAATGAAAATTTATCCCAGGCTGTTTAATAACGTTGTCTAATGGAAGCATAGTAAAGAGTATTGGTCCAAGCACTGAATCCTGAGGAACTCCAGGATTAACTTTGGTGTATGATGAATATTCATTATTTGCATTTGCAAATTGGAATCTATCAGATAAATATGATTTAAACCAATTTCCCAATATCATATTCAAGTCTCTGTAGTAGAATATTGTGATCAGTTGTATCAAATGCAGCACTGAGGTCTAACAGGACCAGTGGAGACACCAGTCCATTGTCGTGCACAGATAGACCATGCAAACTGAACTGCCCCAACAAGGAGGCGAACTTGCAACTTTCTGGTTGTTAGATAATAGCCACTCCACTGTGCAACCAAAATAAAACATTCTCTGATGCATGCTAGCTGTTCTTTCTGATAATTAACGGACAAAAGCTGAATTTAAAATGTTCATCCATTCACTAAACTTACTTGAGTATTCAGTCAGGTGTTGCATAAATAAATGGCAGCAGGATATGATGGAACAGGCTACTAGTCTGAATCTGGATGGACAACATAGTTAACAACACTGATATTAAACCTGTTTACACTGTAGGGATCTGTTAATACTTTGTTCTTGTAACATTTAACATGAGCACAAACTGTAAACCCTCTTCACTATACTAAAATTAGAAACAAATATCTACAATTTATTTAAACAAGAACCACCAATTTCAAATTTTAGTATATGTGCAGAAACATTAGAAGCAAGCCACACATTTTAATAGTTTAATAGACATCGTGATTTATCACATATCGTTAAATGTTACATATTTACACAACATTTTATGTACAGGATCATTTTCTCGTTGTTTCCCAGCTTCATATCTCACACCGAATCTGTACATTAACTTTACTGAATCCCGTGACCTCTTTCTAGAGAGCTAGATCTTCTTCTTTCAGCTGCTCCTTCATCACGGCTCTCCTCTGGGAACTAACTCACACGAACGCTCGGCGATTGTTTTGATGCTGGATGTTCTTCCTGACACAACCACAGACACCGAGCTACCACAACCCTCTGAGTGGAGCAGGGCTGCCATCTGGGGCACGTGGGGCAACAGATGGTGGGGGTTAAGGGTCTTGCTCAAGGGCCCAGAGTGGGTAGGGTGGAGGCAGGTGTGAACGCTTCACCTTTCCCACCCACATTTTCATGTTGTCGGTCCGGGGGATCGAACCGGCAACCTTCTGACCACACGCTCGCCTTCTCTAACCTCTGCGCCACCACTCGTGAACGCAGACTGGCAGTGTGAATGCTGAGCACTCATAGGCTTTGCTGAAATCTGCTGAACGCGCTGAAAAACCGAGCTGCTAAAACTTGGAGAAGCAGAACGGTATCGAAAAAGGCAAAAACAAATAAATAAATAAATAAAATAAAACATATTCGCTAACAGGTAAGCAGCAAAACACTGGCTGCGAGTAGCAAAAGGCTAGCTAAAAGCCAAATGTAGGTAAACAGTAGCTAAAAGCAAAAAACAGCACAAGACGACAGAAAAAGAGTCAGGATGCTTTTAGCAGTTTTAAAAAGAATATATATTTTTAAGAAACTAAAGAGATCTCGTTACATTTCAATGAAAAGCAAACATTTGTAAATAAAGGTATATACAGTATTGTAAAATGTATAAAAGTGAACAAAACCATAAGTTATAGCACCGATCTCCTGGATGAGCTGGATGTTCTGATGACTACAATAGTGCAAAGTACGCAAAAACAGTTGGACTGGAAAAAACATTTAGAAAAAGTATTTCAAGAAGAGGCTGACACGTGATGAGGAGCAGGTCTACGCTGTAGACTGCGCTCCAGGACCAGGCCGAGGACGACGGGGACACGCTTTAAAGGGACGTCTCCTTCACGTCACATCTGGCTGCAGCTGGAGTGTGAGATTGTGATGAAGACGTCTGCTCCTTCGCCACGTCCTCCCTCGGTGTTTCTGTGTTTGTGCTCACAGCAGAAGGTGCTGGTTCCTCAACAACATACTGTGTGAACGTTGTGCTGAACAGTCCTGAGGAACACACGGAACATGTTTCAGAACCAGCTTCTGGGCCAGACCAGAGACCGAACCTAAATAATTAACAGTAGAATAAGATCTTAACGATTTCATGAAAAATGAGATCAGAACAATCAACACGATTTATTTTTCATTCGATGCGAGAGTTCAGTTTGGTGGGAGTTGGACTCCACCAGGGCTGCATGTCGTCACCGAGTCTGTTCATAAGTTTTATGAGAGAATTTCTCGGTGCGGTCGGGGGAGGATCGTGTCCAGTTTCCAGATCAGTGGCCTCAGGATCCATCTCTGCTCTTTGCAGATGATGCGGTCCTGTTGGCGTCATCGTGCCGTGATCTTCAGCTCTCACTGGAGCCGTTCTCAGCTGGGATGAGAACCAGCACCTCCAGATCTGAGGCCTCAGTTGGAAAAGGGTGGATTGTTCTCTTCAGGTCGAGGGTGAGGTTCTGCCTCAAGTGGAGGAGTTCAAGTATCTCAGGGTTTTGTTCATGAGTGAGGGAAGAATGGAGCGTGAGATTAAGTGATGGATTGGTGCAGTGTCTGCAGTATTGTGGACTCTGTACCGGTCTGTTGTGGTGAAGAGAGAGCTGAGCTGTAAGACAAAGCTCCCTGTTTACTGGTCCATCTACGTTCCTCCCCTCACCTGTGGTCATGAGCTCTGGGTAGAGACAGAATGAGATCGTGGATCCAGAATGTAGAAATGAGTTTCCTCTGCAGAGCTGGACTCTCCCTTAGAGACAGGGGGAGAAGTTCAGTTCTCAGGAGAGACTCAGAGTAGAACCACTGCTCCTCCACATCCAGAGGAGACAGTAGAGGTGGTTCATCCAGTAAGGATTAGAGATGCACCGATCCGATACCAATATCGGTATCGGCGCTGAAATAAATAAATAAAATAAAAAACAACTTGTGGATCGGGTATCGGTGACAATGTGACCGATCCATGACTGGGCAGATCTATTCACTCTGACTCTATGCTTTGTGCTCTGAGTGACGTCACGAGCCAGCATCCTGACTGAACAGATTAAAGTTGTGTTGGTTTTACATGTTTGACCGAGCTGTGAAGATCTTGGTGTGTTTGTGCCGTTCTGGTGCAGAGTTTTCAATAAATTTGTAATTCAGTAACATTCGTGTCTGTGTTTAACAAAACAAATGTTTAAAGTTAATTCAGCTCTGGGTTTGTAAACTCAATCATCCAGGTAGACAACAAAAATGGCTAAATCATGTCATCTGGACCTGTTTCAGAAACGGGTCCAGATGACATGATTTAGCCATTTTTGTTAATTCAGCACTGTTTTTCTGTATCAGATCGGTATCGGATCGGTATCTACCGATACTAAAGCGCAAGTATCAGTATCGGATCGGAAGTGAAAAAGGTGGATCGGTGCATCCCTAGTAAGGATGTTCCCTGCTGGGTGCCTCCCTAGGGAGGTGCTTTGGGCATGTTCAACTGGGAGGAGACCCCGGGGAAGACCCAGGACACGCTGGAAAGACTACGCCTCTCAGTTGGTCTGGGAACCATCCATCCATTAACTTTACTCGTTTCTTTCTTTTTAGGTCACTGGGGTCACTGGTGTCCATGTCCAGCTATCACGAGACACATGGAGACAAACAACATTCACTCTCTCACCTGGGGACAATTCAGAGTTACCAATGAGACTAACATGCATGTTTTTGGTCTGTGGGAGGAAACTGGAGTACCCGGAGAAAACCCACACATGCACGGAGAGAACATGCAAACTGCACCGAGAAAGGCCCCTGGACCGGGGTTTGAACCAGGGACCTGCTCGCTGAAAAAATCTGCAGAAAGTAGTGCTGTACCTTTTCTCCACTGGCCTTGGGGCTTCTTGTCCTCCTGGCTGGATTTAGATTTACTGCTCTCCTCCGATGGATCAGACTCTTCATTTTCTGTAACAATGAAAACTGAAATGTTTTCAACACGAACAGGAAGCATGTATAAATGTGACAATGGTGTATTAGTGGACACACTTGACAAAAGTAAAAAGAAGTGAAAGGAATACTGAGGGTTTGCTGACTCATATTTATCTATTTTTGTCATCTTATGCTACTTTCTGATCTTTAGCTATTTTTACAACAGTTGTATGTGTAGCTTTTAGCTACTGTTCTGCTACTTTTAAAATTTAATCTGCAGTCAAGAACATACAGAATATTAGATGTGGTCATTTTAGTTACTGTATTGCTGAATTTAGCATTTGTTTCAATGTTTTAGTCACAGTTTTGCTACAGTTAGCATCTATTTGATTTAGATGTACCATCTGTTTTGCTCAATTAAGCATATGTTCAGCTAATTTTTGTTTTAGCCACTGTTTTGCATATTTTAGTGTATGTTAATTTTAGCATCTATTTTTCAGTTTTTAGCTACTGTTTTGTTAACATTAATTTAAGCATTTATTTGGCTAATTATAGCTGTATGTTAGCTTTTGCTTGTTACTTTTAGCATGTTTTGCTGATTAATGGGGGCTTGGCAGGAATGCAGCCTGTGACTCAGCAAATCCAGAACTTGGACCATCTTTGAACTTCCTGCAGCTTAAAAGTGGAACTAAAACATCTGCAGAGCTCTGAGGTCAAGGACAGAGCAGAGACAGAGCCGTCTGTCTGGTGAGACACGAAACGATTTGTTCAATTTGATCATTTGTTTGGATATGTTTCACTTATTTTAGGATTATTTTCAATCCTTAAATCCGGGCCACATTTTCTTGACTGTTTGTTTGTTTAGGGGGTTTTCCCACACTTTTGGCCCGAATGCAAAATAACAACAAACAAAGAAACAAACAATAACACATCAAATTATATGACAGGGATTATCATTTGGACTATAATGATTAGTGTTAAAAATCTACAGCAACGCAGTTCAACTCCCACCCACAGAGTAAAGAGTTAAAATAAATTAAAATCATTTATTTGATACTTTTTGTTTCAGGGTGAGGTAGTTCTATAAAACAGACTGGTATGTTTTTGTGGGGGAAATATTTAAAAGTAGTATTTTAAACAGTTAAATGAAACGGTGGATTTCCTCATGAGGAACATGAAGGGTCATGAAGTTAAAGGGCGATAAAAGAATTAAATTCAGTTTTGTTTTTATCTAATCCCAGTGCTTGGACTCAGAATGCCTCTAGTTCATGTGTGCAAAGCGAGTAGAGACAGGAAATGCTTGCCTCTCTTCCAGGCCACGTGCGCTCTCCTCAGCTTGACAGTGAAGAAAAGCACGACCACCAGAAGGCCCAAGATGAGCGACGTCACCAGGAGCAGCAGCACGTGAGATGTTCGACGTGTTCCTGTCTGAAGATCAGCGCCACGAGACTCTGGAAACAACACGATGGCACATTTTACTCATATTTCAGCAGCTGGCACCATTTAAAGACCAGTGACGGCGTTCACCTGTGGTGTTTGTCCGTGCCGTGTTGTAGACGGTGATGTTCGGCGCCGGCTCAGACACAGACGTCCCGTCTGTGAGGAAACACAGAGAATCCATGCTCGACTTAATTTACTGCACGAAGCGTCTCAACGTCTGTAAAACTGAGTGAGCTGTGACGATCACTGGACCCAAGAGTCCATCGGTCTGGAGGTGCATCCAGGAATCGTTTCCTTCAAGCTTCAAAGTGCTGCAGGAAATATTTTGCTAACAGACAACCAGGTTGATTCCAGTGGTCATTGCTGAAGTTTTAAGAAAGAATTGTGTACAATACGTAGTACTTGAACTGCAGCTTGTGTACTGAACGACTCCAAGATACTAACGAGCCAAACTTTAGGAGAATATCCACAAAATTCACTCTGTCATCGACAGATTGTGTTTTCCAAGCTCAGCTGGCTGCGGCAGCCATCTTGAAATGGATGGGCTCCAGGAAGTAAATCAGCTGTAGAAGTACATCCAGTGAGTACTTCAAGAAAGTTTCACTAATACTCTTCCAATGGGTCATGAGATAATTAGCTAACAGACAGACAGACATGCAGTATTTACATTGTTGCTGCTTCTTTTTTTGCAGGATCTGTAAGAAACATTCAGAATCACCACTAGACGGTAGAAGAAGTGTATTTTTAAATGTTTTGCACATGAAGCAACGTGTTGACCGTTGCTGCACATGAAGCAACGTGTTGACCGATGCTGCACAT